ACGCTGTTAATGCTTCAAGTGTAGAATAACAGTAGGCTGTAGCTGTTACTTTAGTACAGTTCCAATAGATGAGGGGATTGAGATGGCTGCCCCATGCTAAAACATCTAAGTCACTTGGCTGCATAATACCCATTTAAGTTGCTGTGGCAATAGTTACAAGCTAAATTTTAATTTTAACCAACATTATTATGCTCATGAAGATATCTGCAGGCAAGTGCATGAATCGCTAGGTGCCCGCCTTAAAGTTATTTTATCAATTTACTAAATTTGAAGTAATGACTGTTGTACTTTCAGGTACTAAAACTTTACCTCTTTACCTGCAGATGAATAACATTATGTTAACACCAGATTGTTTAAACAAGAGTTGGAATCTGATTTGACCTTCATTCCATAATTCAACAATAAGATGCATAGTTATCGATAAGCAATTCTTTAGAAATGAATCCCCAACTCAAGACTGCAAGAACTGCATAATCCAAGAGAAATGCAGATAGACTCGAGCATACTCTGGAACTTTATAAAGTACCATCTGGTTAGTAGTTTAAACATGCTTGATAAAGCTTCCCAAAAGATTATTCTAGAATGGTAAATGGTGTAAAGAATAGTACCCAAATCAATGCAGGATATGGAAGGGTTGCTGTTAAGAGGAAAACAAGGTAGACAAACAACAAACACACAACAATAGATGTTAAAGACTCTGGAATGAATTTATACTCTGCCCAAACGCATACCTTGTAAAAAAAGATTGTACTGTATATACTGACATCTTCTTCCAACTATGCTGCTAAATGCTGCTCCGATACCTAGAAATGGTTCCCTGAAGTTCACTGGCAATCCGACATTTCCAGGAGTGTCTCTTGGATCCCACTGGTTTCTCCTGATGAATCAACATCACTGCTGTCTCCTATATTAACATGGAAGTCAGCAAGAGGTACCAGCAGGTGACCCAGAAGATTGACAGTCCAGGAAATGTCAGCCTCCAAGCGGACTTCGGAGGACCATTTCTCAGGATCAGAGCCTTGTTTAGCAGCACTAGTGGCAGGAAAAGCAAAAACATACACTCTTCTTTTACAAGGTATGCCCTGCATGGGCAAAGCACACATTTCCTTTACCCTTAAGCCTAACACTAACATACTCATCAACATCAATTATTCCCTGATTTTCGTAACCACCTTGTCCTGTGCTGAATTTATTGAGCTGAACTATTTAATACATACAAATGACCAGACAATAGCTGGTATAATGCTGAACTAGAATGCACATAGACTATCGTATTCTTGTGTTTGACAAATTTTGTTTACTTCTAAAACCCTCAAATGAACTTTGGATAAGCAGTTCAATGCTTTATTCATGCTAACATCCATTGCTTGTGTGCCTTCGGTCTTTGAAAAAAGCTTACCGCAGTAATTACATTTTATACTCCCTAAAATCTTACATGCTCTCATTCTACAAACATACAATCTCCTTTTAGTAAAGCTCCAGCACTAAGCACTAATATACTGTCTCTGAAAATGAATGTTTTGTTTAAATTAGGCTTGGTGCTCCTTCTTGTATGATAGAAACAGTCCGGAGATGTGAATTGTGTGATAAGTAGGGCCCTTTCCCACATGCATTCTGCCAGTCCGTCTTTGACCTTTGATTAGACAAATCAAAAACAGACTACAATGTATACTTATGGGCGGCCTGGTGTAAGACGATGTGCATCCATTTTCATCCAGGTCTATTCAGGTTGATCTGTCCAAACACCGTAAGTTTGTGTCCAGGATCGCTTTTGGCAAATATAGGCAGATGGAGGTCCATCTACATCCAGTAGTCCTTAGGGATTAAATGTGTCAGCTTTTGCACAACATGGAAGAAAAAATAGAACAGACACGAATGCCATTTCCATTTGATCCAACTTAGTAGGAGATCAGCTTATGGATCCCCTGTTGGGACGGAAGGGAGGGTGCATGTGAATGGGGCCTTATGCTTTGAATTACAGAATTACTTACTCAGGATTACTGCTATCTCTTATTTATCAAACTGAGTCTGTGGAATAATACTGTTCTCAGGATAATGTTATGTATACTGGGAGCATTTCTGTGCATCATTTATGATTTTAGACCTTATGGAAATGTGTGATGAATTTAAAAAACAGCTATCTTCCATCCCTATTTTAGATTTGTTTGCAGACTTCCTGTAGATGTTAAGCAAATTAATACACTCTACTGGTTTACACAAAAACTCAATGCACATTGTCCTCTAGGACCAACATGTTCATTTACAATCTCTCAGAAAATGGTATGCTCGAAATGATTTTTTCATTTAACATTTAATCTCTCAGGTTCACAATTCTGTTAAAATAGCACAACTCACTTGTACAAACTAGTACACAAGCAAAACAAACTCATGTCTTGAAAAAATAAAGCAAATTGATCATGTATAGCTGTAAAGTCTAACACTGTTAATATAACACAAAGCTGTAATGCAGTATATAGCTGTTCAAGGCAAAGTGACAGTGTCACATCCCTTTATACAGACACTGCGCTTTGCACTCAATGTGCAAAGAGACAATGTTTCTGTAACAAAAACTTTCTGTACAAAGACTGAGCACAGCTGAACCATGAAAAAAAAACCCTGTATCATGAACCAACAATAGCTATCCTTCCTATGACATGCTTACAGTGGAGCTGGTCTGGTAAACAGCCAAGAGCACCAGGAAGAGTGCATGAGAGCCAGAAGAACTGCACAAGATAAAAGGAAGGGGCAAATGGACAACAGTGGCCAGGAAAGTAGACATTTGACCAAAGGTGAATATGGAGTGAGCTGTGTCAGCTAAGAGGACCCCAGAGGATGATGTTATCATTGCCACGACCATCCTCCAACCCGCCCTGGCAGTTAGTGGTACTACAGGTACTACTGCTATAATATTGTGCATATATATCTGTAGTTTTGGTGGTTGCATTAGTTCAGACTTTTTTTCCTTTCATTTAACCTGGTGATTCTGCCAGTAACACACTTCATGTGCTAGGGCAGGGGTGCCCATAAGATCGATCTCAATCTACCAGTTGATCGCGTAGCCATGACTGGTAGATCGCGATGTCCTCTCTTCCCGACGGTGGGGCTTCTCTGGATCCCCGCTGCTCTCCCCATCTGTATGCAGCGGGGATCCAAGAAGAAGTGAAGGAATCGGCGGCGGGGGAGGGCGGAGAACGTAGCCGCCGCCGATTCCAGTCACAGAACTAATGCCGAGCGGTGATAAGAGAGAGAGACGCTCGGTCTGGATCTAACAGCCGGCGCCTGTCTCTCCCCTCACTGCTCAGTCTTAGTTCTGTGACAGAGTCTCCACCCCCCGCGGCTGAAGTGCTTCGTGTCGGATCCCCCGCTGCAGGGGGGATCCATGGGAGAAGTTGAGCCCCCATGTGCGTGGCCGAGCGGCAGAGGATCGGTACATATCAGTGATATGTACCGGTCCTCCGTGCAGGACAAACACTGGAGCAATCAGCTGATCACTCCAGTGTTTGTAAATAACTGGGGACACATAGTACTATGTGTCCCCAGTTATAAATGAACAGGATGTGATTTACATCACTTTCTGTTCATTCATGAGTTTCTCAATGGGGAGAAGCACTCACTACAGAGGCTCCTCCCCATTCAGAAACTGCTTGATAGTAAAATATTTTCTTAATGAATGGGAATGGATGCACACAAATAGTGCTCGCAGCATTTACACTGGACTGGAACGCAGGCACTAATCCCAGCAATAATACATTAAACATCCTGTATAATGTATTATTGCTGGGATTTGTTGTTCCTCTACAGCTGGTGGTATTCTGCATTATGCTGCTGTATAATGTACTATTGCTGGGATTTGTTGTATTCCTCTATAACTGGTCAGAGGTATTCTGCATTATGCCGCTGTATAATGGATTATTGCTGGGATTTGTTGTTCCTCTATAGCTGGTGGGATTCTGCAGTGTGCCGCTGTATAATGGATTTGTTGTTCCTCTATAACTGGTCAGTGGAATTCTGCATTGCGCTGTGCAGGTATAATAATTATACAGTGCAATGCAGAATACCACCAGCTATAGAGGACTACAAATCCCAGTAATAACACATTATACAGCGCAATGGAGAATAACACCAGCTATAGAGGAACAACAAATCCCAGGAATAATACATTATGGTATAATGTACTATTGCTGCAATTTCTTGTATTCCTCTAAAGCTGCTGGTATCCTGCATTGCGACGCTGTATAATGTACCATATTGCACACCACACTTTTTTTTACTTCCACCGCTCCAAGCTTGCTCCCGTGATGGACTACAATTCCAATACAAACTTGTAGTCCATCTCTGGAGCCTTTTTTTTTCAAATCCAATTAATCGAACTTGATAATTGGCGAACTAATTGATTTTGAAAATAATCGTTAGCCGCAGCCCTAATTTCAACTTCATATATTAAGTTGTAACAGTGTTAAAATAAAAGTGCATTGAAGGACCCGAGGGACAACCGGTGGGCGGACTCCATGGGACAGCCGGGTAAAAAAGCCTGGGGGGGGGGGGGGCCTATAGTTGTGTAAGGGGCCCCAAAATTTCTGAAGGCTGCCCTGCATATAGCAATCCATCATGCCGTTCAATCCACTGTCCAATCTTGCTGCTATCAAGGAGTTTTTAGTGACAGGGGTTCCTGGAGATACCGCTCACATATAGGTTGAATAAACTGGCAAATGAATATATATATATACTGTATATATATGTGTGTGTGTGTGTGTGTGTGTGTGTGTGTGTGTGGGTGTGTGTGTGTGTGTGTGTGAAAGAGATTTTGTATATGTTTTGTATACGTTTTTATAAATATATAAAAACCAACAACTTTTGTAAAGAAGTGTTACACATTTTATTTTGGAACTTGTTATTTTGCATTTTTACTATGCTGTCTGCTTCTGACTTATATGTTATCTGGAGCTTCGAAGACCACTGATCCATAGCTATGACAATGCTTTTTGCCAATGCCTACTCACCCCTGCTCCTCCATCATTTCCTGCAGCTCCATACACTTCAGTTCTACTCGTCTTTTCCGCTCATGGTCTAGGATCTCTCTGTGGGCTTTCTTGACAAGAAGAGGTTCAGTGGCTCTTGTTTCTTCTTCAGATCTATGCCATGTGCCCGAAGCAGTGGGCTGGGAGAAACCATTGGCAGTATCCTGTGGAGATGGAATCCTGGTTCCATTGTTGCACACAGACATTGCAGTGCCGTCTCTCTGTTCTATTTCTTCCTGTAAAAAATGCAAACAGACTCATTTGAGCTAACTTGAATTCCTTATCTTTTCCACACCTTTGAAATTAGAATGGCAAAAGGAAATATAGAATGAAATAGAATGAAATTAGAAATTAGAATGGCAAAAGGAAATAGTCTCCATGCTCTAAACTGCTCTGTTAAATTAAAACTGACGGCTTAATGGGGAAAGAGCTGTACTAATCTGCTTTCCTGTAAGACAGGGACCAGCGCTGCCAACCAAGCAGTACTAGAAACATTATGAAAGCTTCCAATGTAGACAGAGAAGTCAATTCTCATATATTAGAGATTTGGGAGCGCTGACCACGCGTAAACACAACGCAAGAAGAGATTGCCATACACCCCAGTGGGAACAAATTGAAACAGCTAATTGGCAAAGAAGCATGGGCAGTGTTAAACGCTATTATGAACATTGTAATGTAATTACAGACACACTTTAGGTGTACTGCTCATAGAAAACCGCCAATAAATGTATTATTAAACAGCATAACCAACATTAATTGTCTTTATTGAGCATAAGCAAAATATAAACAAATGAATAAGATTATTGTGTGATGAAACAGCTGGAATACAAAGATAATAAAAAACATTAGATAATATGCATGTATAACAAAAGCATGTAAATGTACAATAATCAAAGCACTGGAGCCAAACCATCAGCATAACAACCAGACAGCTAGCATTTTTATAAGGAGAGGTCAGGAAAAGCAGCCCACATGTTTCTCTCAAGGTAAGTTTCTTTTAACCTCAAGCAATTGGAATATTAGGTGTGGATGTCTGCTTTAAAACATGCTTACAAAGATATGTAACATCAAAATGTCTTCTCCATTCACCTTCATTGACCTCCACAAAAGGTCCTGAAACTCATCATCCATTCATCATCAAAATGAAAATATCACAAACTGAAGAAATACACAGCAAATGTATTTCAATATCTAAGTTAAATATACTGTCAGCAATAGCCTAATGTTTCCTTCTTTTTCTTCAATCTGCTACATTTGGTAAAATCAAGCTACCCAATCTGTTGCTTTAGACAACTGAATGCAGCACAAACTGTCCTACAAACAGTAAAATATTTCATCTTAACTGACTTGTTCTCAGTAGACTGAGTGACTGACACAGCTCTCACAAAAAAAGTAAGGAGTCCTCTGAAGTCAGCAAAAACACACTTCTCCAGGGACAACCTGCACCTCTTTCAAGAAAGAATTGAACTGGAAGAAAATGAAAGTGATGAATGAAAAAGCCTCTTTATCATCTGCCAGGAAAATGCAAGTTTGGAATTGAAATTTATACGACAGATAAGAACCTCAAATTTCAATAATTAAAAAAAAAGGGCTTCTCTATAAAGAAAAATAATGCATTAAGTAAAGGGGTTCCATCAAAATAGGCTACCTGTGATGAGAATGAACATTTTACGTTTGATACTCAAAGTCCAGGCATAAATAAAATACTATCTATAATCAACAGTGTCCCTCCCTGCTAGTTTCCATTGTAGCAACTTGTCTCCCAAAGCTTCTCCACTTTTACAGATACTATCACAGGACCATGCAGGATCGGCCAACCACTGGTTCTGCATTGTACATGATGATGTAGGAGTGCCACAAACTTTCTGGCACTAGAGAGCAAAGGAATGAACCTCTGGCTGCTACTGGACTGGGGAGTAAAATAATTGCTCAATAAGTATTAGATTATTCCCCCCTGAACAAAACATTATACGCAAGCATTATATTCTGTTTTAGCGGTAGGAGGGGGATAGAAATGTATTGAAGTTAATTTATGCCCAGGGTTCCACCAATGATATATGTACACTCAGAGCTTTAAATACATAACATCTTTTGACATATAAATGCTTTTTGAAATATGCAAACGATAAGAATCAAAATCAGAGCATTGATGTGCTAGACAAAGGGAAACAACACAGTTTCATACACTAAGAAAATCTATTTACCTATTGTAGATAATTGCTTTATTATATTACTTTCATGGTCTTCTAATTTGAATAATATCATCATAAAAATGTCATTTGAAGAAGTGATTTGGTGGACACAGGATAAATGCAATAAATTGCTGCTCTGACTTTTCTACTTTCTAGAGCATGGGCAAGAGAAAGCAATACGAGTGTCCCCAAATGCTGCTTGTTCAAAAATGCAATTACCATTGCCATGGAAACAGTCTCTGACTGACCTAAACCACGGGTTGTGATGTCAGATCCAATACTAGCAATATTCCCTAGGGATATCCAGATCTGTGTTCTTCTCTTCCCTGAAATTCTTAACGTATTGAGAGCTCTGAGAATGCTCATTAAGTAATATACAGAGAGCCAAGATGGATACACACCACAAGTTACATTTTCTCTTCCCACTTTTATTGTTACTGAACCTTTTTAAAGTTGCTAAAATTGAGCAAATGAAACACCACAATGTAGAAAAAGGTTTAAATTATTAATATTGAATACATCATATATAATACCACCTTTCTTTTGCTTCCCCTTTACTCCATGGCACATGCAGCATATTAAATAATTATATGGGAGCAGGGAAGATGTCATCAGCCCTGTGTAGGCTATATGCCATGACTTGTACCTTACATGGGGATTCCTCTGTTCATTATTTGCTGCTAAACAGAGTGGCATGGATGTTAAGGTAATGTGGGGTGCTGTGGCAAAGGAGGAAGTTAAGCACTTCAGTTCTTATACCTATATATACCTTTTTTGGAACAGAGACATTTTTCGCTCTAATTTCTGTTTAACATTTCTGCTATGGGTTATTTGACAATAATAAATACAATAATTTAAATGACAATAAAGTAATACATTTTTGACCAGTGTTACTTAAAAAAATAGTTTTTACTATAAATAAAAATTATGTATTTTATTCTACAATGTATTCTATTTGAAATATCACGACAATGATGCTTTTGATAATAAACATTTAATTTTTTTGCAAATGAAAAAAAATAATTTTTATGCCAATTTTACATATTTTCTTGCTATGTGACACTGAAAAAAGTAACAAAAAAGAAATGAAAACATAAAATAATCTTGATGGCAAAAATAGAAATAAAAGAAAGCAGCATAATAATATCAATAATAATAATAATAGCTAGATTAGAGTTAACTAAGTGCTAATAAGGGGATAAAAAGGAATACATTTTATTTGCCTCGTAAAGTTTTATTGAGTAATGTCATATGCAGATCAAATATCAAGCAAATACAAATGAAACAATAGACTGTTAGATTGTATTTGTTCAATTGCACTTGCAGACTCTCTGCAAGTGCCATTATGCACAGGAGCAGCTGCATTTTAATACAAACATTTCCCAACTGTCATTCTGACAGTCCATAATTGCTGTTAGTAATGGCAGGTGAGCGGTGGCAGGAAAGAGGAGCTGGACATAAGAAATTTGTACTAAAAGGTTTGTTGATGTTTTCAGGCTGTATCTGTTATGTTCAAAGTCTTCAAGTGGTTAGGTAAACGTTTTGCTTTACCCAACAGGTTCACCCTAAAATGCACCTGTGCCCAGACTATGGACATTAAACAGTTCTTAATATTTATAACAAACCATCATTGACCTGCATGGTCAATGATTACAACAGTCAAGTTTTATACAGCTCACAAACTCCTGCTGTGTGTTTACTAAGGCCCCATTCACACTGAGCGACATGAAAATTGCGCGATTTTGAGCGATATTGAGCGACGAGCGATATTGAGCGACTTGTCGCGCGACATCGTGCAACTTTTTCCTATTGGGCTGTATGCAATCAGGAGCAATATCGCTCGAAATAAGGGTCATGTAGGAGCGACAAGCTACCAGCGACGAGCTACAAGCGATATTGAGCGATATTGAGCGACGAGATGTGAACAGCTCCATTGAAATGGATTGGAGAAGCTACATAGAGCGATATCGTGTGGAAATATGAGTGATATCGCTGCAAAAATCACGATAAATCGCTCAGTGTGAACGGGGCCTCAGAGGGCTGCTAGGCTGCCAAGATTCTGCTCTCCATAGAAAGTAAAGGTAAAATTAGTTGTGATTTAAGTGGATTTTGAAGGTACATTTCTGCACAATGCTATGCTTCCCTTAAAACCATTAAAAGCACTGTGAATGCAATATTAAGAAGAATGGTTAGATGTTCCTAGCTTCCTGGCTGTCAATTGATCCTTTAGCTTTATTTTTTAGGGAGTCACTGACCTGAAACAAGTAAAAAGTTGGTGATGCTGGAGCTCTTGACCTGCATACTTGATCTAGGGAATTGACTAACTAAAAAGTGAAGTTGGACAGCTAAAGAAGCACTTGTATTTCATGAATGATATATTCCCTTTTACCATTTTGGAGCCTGTTACTTTGTGATCTATGTTTCCCTGCTCTCCGCATGACTTTTAACAGACTGATATTAATTTCACTTGAGTTGGAACTATATTAAAGGTAAAATGTATCAACTTCTACTGATGGTGCTGTTGTCCTCTTATGTCTTCTAACCCTGCTTTAAATAGAAGGTAAACATCTGTTGTTATTCAAACAAAGGGTTTGGGATAGGGACTGAGCTGCTATTAGAGATTACAAAGGGCAACAACATGTTCTAGGCTTCTCTATTATTTCCAACAAGTAAATGGCATCTCCTAGGAATGTTTAGACTTTAACTATAACAAGTATGAATCTCTGTGGTGACAACATGACTGAATTAAAAAGGTTTAAACCATTGGTACTATATATATAATATCTTACACCAAGTTTATTATTTTACTGACTTAAAAGGACAGTAATTTCTTCTCATCGTCAAGTGCCAAAAACTTCTTCCTCTTCCATCCAAAATGCACTTAAATGAATAATGCATGTTGATTAATCTGCAAGAAATGCTTCATATCCTGTTCTGGAATAAAGCATCAGCATTTTTTAATCTCTGCCATTTTTGGTAAAATAATTGAAAGCATATGTTTTATGGTCAGATAAAGAGTGCACTGTAAGGCAATAACTTGAGTA